GGGATTAGTGCTTTAAGGCAGCTGGGGCGGGGGTTGGGGCATAGGGTTTTTTCAAGTCCCCTTTCTCAAGCACACATGTGGACTGTGACATTGATATTTATGATGACTCTGGCATAATAGAAAGGTTATGTTGCAGCTTGTGAAATATTGCTGAATGCATAGCTACAGATAATCATATCAAGGACAAGAAAGGGAAAAAGACACTTAGACATGCACATGATTGGATACATTTGCACACACACTTAATGTGGCAGCTGTAAAATAGGCTTTTTTTTTATCATTCCCCCACTACTTGACTGATGGTCCTCACCTACTCCAATCTCCTCCTAAGTAGCATTTCTGAATCACTGCACAGCCCACAAGCATCGTGATGAGATATACACATGAAGATATACACCTATACGGCTAATTAAATCAGCCCATATTTATTTACAGTTGCTAGAGCCTCTCACAGCTGATCTTATTCATCTCAATGAAGTAGCCAGTACTCAATACTCTTTCCGACTAATCTGAGTGCTCTGAAAGATTCTCTCAACAATTTAATTAAAGTGTTCTAACATCTCTGAGTGATCTCAGACCAGCAACCCAACTGCAGCTTTTACTGATCTCAGCTGTTGCTGATCTCAGTGAAGCACTCAGACAGTTCTGTCTGATCTCAGAACAGTGCTGTAAAAATCTATCTATCTATCTATCTATCTATCTATCTAGTTGGACAGCTTTCATTTAGTAGGAATCAGCTTGGTTTTATGTGGGTAAAATGGTTAAGTTATGTCTATGTACTTGACAGTACTTGAAAGCATGTACCCTTTAAGAGAAATATCATGGACCTAGGACGATCTTCGTTTTATAAATGAAGCTTAAAAGTTCATGTTCTTTACAATCTCTTATTTGTCCTCCCTGTCTGTCAAAACTGCTGGATTTGAACATTCAATGCAAAGCCCTTCACATATCTCTGCTTTCATAGAGATTCACTCAGGCTTACATCCTTTCATTTCGTTTGTACAACACCTCCACTAATTTATTCAGTCCAAATATGATTGCTATGAAGCAGTATTGGCACAAGGCCCTTTGAAGATGTCAAAGCCAGTGGGAAGAATGAGGGGAAAAAGGTATATATTATACACCCACACTGGTTTGCACACACGCACGCGCACACACACACAAATTTAGCCTAGAGTCCATGCATTCTACCTGACTGATATGCCTCTGGAGATGTTTTTTATCTGTTTCTATGAATTTCAGAAGTATAAAAATAAAAGAGGGTGAAACAAAAAGAGAGCAATGTTGCATCATTTGTTTGTGTTATTACAAATCCTTATTAAATTAAGCATTAACAGTAAATAGGATAAACTATTCCACTCTGTTTTCAGTTTTGAAGCATGCTGCCATCTAGTGTGCAGTGCCATTACATAACAATGTTGTAGACATTGTTAATTGGTGGAAAGAAGTGCATGAAATTAAGCATGAAGTACAATGCCATATATGAGGGTTAATAGTGTTACAGTATAACCAGAGGAACCAACACACAAGGAGAGCGAGTATGGAAACATAATTGGGAACGACTCCCACAGTGTGACATTACCAACAGCCTCAACACATTGAGAGCGCTCAGATTCTCAGAGGACTTCTTTAGCGTAGAGAGCTGTGAAAATTGCAAGGCTGTCATTACCATTAGTAAAGGGTTCATTACTACAGCAACAAGAGCCATATGAACAGCAGTACGACAGTGTGAGTGTATGCGCCAAAAGGCACAAGAATAGGGGAGTTTTCCCTTCTTTGAAACAAACGTTACACAAAGAGTATTGACTTTCACATGACACATTGTCTAATGCCACTGGCAGTCACGCAGATGCTGTGGCATACCCAAACTCAGTCTTGGTTGGCTCTGGGTGGGATCTAATCAGCACCACAGAGACTGATCATAAGCAGAGATTACAGAAGAAGACACCAAGGGTGTGCCTCCTCACTAAAGTAACCTAATACTGTTTTGTCCATGTCAGTTTTTCACAATACAATTCAGATGAATTGCAACCACTGCTTACAGAATTCATCGGAAAAGAGGAACAGCCACCATATATTCTAATAGGCTGGTTATATGTATACAAAAATAAATGGTTATGTGCAAATAAACTCAACCACAGAGTGGTTCAATATACAGAGGTGCGAAAAAATAGAAGTGCATCAGTACTCTTTTTGATTCAGCATTTTTTTCAGGTGTGATCCGTAACCATAGAAACTCAGTCTACTGAAAAGCTAATTTCCATCAGGAGGAAGTCATAAAAGAAGACATTATTCAATACTCACACTTTTGTTGATCATTTCCTACTTACAGTGGGGTCCAAATTTAAACCTGAAAAAAAACAATGTTTTAGGATTTTGAAAATGTTTAAATATAAAAATATATACTTAGAAATATTCAAGTTGTTATTGTTAACTAAAACTGTTAAAATTGTTTTCAGTAATTGAACTGAATGTGAAATAAACTAAAACAAATAAGTTTACTAAAAATACTAAAATTAGAACACACAAAATGAAAAACTTAAAAATGAAAACTAAAAATATACAAATAAAACCAACTCAAAATATCAATAAATACTAATAGTATATAAGTCACACAAAAGCTAATGCTTTGCTATATATATATATATATATATATATGATTTGACAATAAAAACAAACTTGACAGTTTAAACTTATACACAACAACATACAGTAATAAGCTTATTTCACAACTTGACAAAAAAAAGAGGAAAAAGAGATAAAGGGGCCCCAGGGATCCACACCCTGCATAATAGAAAAGATGATCTGCTGTAAGTGTGAGGGCCATTTTCACAGGTGTCTTTGTTTGTGTGTGTGTGTGAGAGAGAGAGATCTGCTACAGAGAGGCTAACAAGAGAGTTGAGGGGGAGAAAGATGTTAAACCGGTCTGTGCTCCTCCGTACATCATTTTTCTCTGTCACTTTCACCCACCAAGCCATAAACACCATGTTTCCTATATTTTCAAGTTCCTTTTTCTACCAACCCATATCACACCCTATTCACATATAAATATGTAATATTTAAAGGAGTAGTTCATCCAAAATTAAAGCTGTGTCATCATTTATTCATCCTCATATTGTTGAAAAAACAGTAATACTTGCTTCCATGGAATACAAAAATGCTGTTCATACTGCTCTTTTAAATAAAATTAAATTAAATGGTGACCATTGGCAAGCTTCAAAAATGACCAAAAGCATTATGGAAGGGGACCATAGAACTCACACACTATATTTCAAGTTGTCTAAAGCCATACAAAAACACATTGGTCTCACTATCTACATTTACATGCAACCAAATAATCTGTTAGTATTGATGTCTGAATCAGACCAAAAAGTCATCATGTAAACATAGCAATCGATCCGATGGAGCTCAGTCTGAATGAAATTTAGATCGGATTGGAAGGGGTGGTGTAGACCTAATAATCAAATCAGGAAAAAATTAAGCATGTAAATGTTTGAATCTGACTAATTGAATTCAAAAATACCTTGCACACATGCACAGCAAGTGATTAAATATGTTTTAAGTCTAACAAATGTGCATTTATTTATTTACATCTTACAAACTGGTCAGTGGAGGAGACTAAATATTTATTAATAATTGCTAAAAGCTCTTCTGACATATATGTCAGCTTCCTTTTTGGATATGTCATCAAGGCAAAATGACAATACTCACGGTGGCTTTATCTAGCTTTGAAGATGTGCATACATGTAATTCACATGTACTATATAAACAAATATGAATATGTTTGCAAAGTTTAGGGTGCATTTAAAATAAACTGAACTTTCAGAATCTGCAATTGGATTGGATCCATTCAACTGAAGAAATTTACTGCATGTTAACATACTTATTGGATCTCATAACCTAATTTCATAACAACAAATTGTTATTTTCTTCAAATAAAGCTGTCATATGGCTTCAGATGATTACAAGAGTCACACAGACTACTTCAAAGACAATTTTTTTTTTTTTTTCAAATTTAGAGCTGTACAGCTCCTAGTCAACATTCACTTCCATTGTATGGAAAAGAGCAGCAGGAACATTCCGCATAACATCTCCTTTTCTGGATTTCTCTGAAAGAATATCATAACATAGAAAACAACGACAAAGTTTCTATTTTTAGATGAACTATCACTTACACTAATGAACTAACAGGAGAACATAAACTTTCTCCTGCTTACAAAAAAATACCTGTCTGTCTTTACATCTGACGCATTTCACATAGTCAGGTGAAAGGCATACTATACAAAGGCACCTGCTAAGTCATGGAATATTTGAGCTGTCTGTGTGACGTTAGCACCGCTCTCAATAAGCAATCCTGAAAACAGCCAGGGTGTCTGACCCCTGAGAAAGAGCAAGAAGAACCCTGAAGGGCTGACACAAGGCATGCACAGATGGGCATGCTTTACCTCCACTGACAGGCTGCCAAGGGTCCAGGAAATGTCTGAGTCCACATCCTGGTCCCCGCTGTGCCTGAAAGAACCAGTTGCCACCAGATCACTTTCATTAAGTAACCATGGTAAAAGACAGTAAGAGTGCTTTTCAAGTACTTATCACTTTATCTCATTATTTCATTCATACCCTATAATTAATACTGTCAGGGGACTCAGAAAACAACCCATTAGGATTATATTTTAAGCCTTAATAATATAAAGTGCAAACACTTCAGCAACAATATCAGTCATCAGACTCCAGAAGAGATTGATAATATCATAACTAAATTGTATATGACAAAGGAAAACGTCAGTATTGCTGACTGAAAAGTCACCAAGTGTAGAATAGAGGAAGGCGTGCCATCCTCTTATTGGAAACACGAAGTTCTCACAATAATGGGAGTGTCACAACATTTTTTCAACCCCAAGAACTGTCTTTTCAACTTTTTCATGTTTTGAAACTGCGTCGCTTTCTTATTTTTAGTTACCTGTTAATTCGTGACAGTTGAAAACTGAACCACACGTCGACCAGCACCAGGATTTATTTCACGTGGAGCAGTTTGGATGGAGTTAAGAGCGGTGAAAGAGCCGCAAATTTAGGATGACTTCAGGCTCATCACGGGCGACGACACCAGGTGAGACTTCACGAACAAATCCAGACAGCTGTATTACACAAGGCAGACAAGAAAAATGACTGTATTTGTTGATATTTTAAAACACAGAAATGCTGCTTATAAAGTTTAAGCACAAAACGAAGTCGTGAAGTCAGTAGGAAAGTAGAAAGCTATCACGTCGTGATAGATTGATTGACAGGTTCAGCGATGTGACGTGTTCCATCTAAAATAAGCAACATCTAAACAACATTTTGCTATTTTTATATGTTGTTCTTTGCAGCCTCTATAGGCTCGTATTAATTGGGAGAATACAAGAAAATAAATAAAAAATTTGGAAATGGTGAGAAAACTGAAAAGTTGCATGACCTATGATATACAGTTGTGCACAGACAGACAGGTTTTTAGCTATGAATGGAATTTGATGGCATATTTATCTTGGCTCTCAGTACCGCCGAGAATGACAGGAAATTACAAAAAAATACATAAAATAAAATTATATAAAAATTATATATATTTTTTTTTTCTTCAGTTTTTCTATCAACTGACTGTGAAGAAAGAAATAGATGGCTGGAGATTAACAGCACATTTAAAGGTTGTCCAACCTGCTTGCATTCCAGAAACCACAATAACACACTGTATTAATTTGACTGCTTTGGCCAACAGCCTTCTCAATCTGATTTGTTTTTACGTCTAGATTTCCAAAGATAAAACAATGATATATACTAAACCTGTAGGTAACCACTCTCTAATTCAACATGAACATAACACGTGATGGAGGAAGTGTACTGTGGTTTTCAAAATACTTGTTTGCATTGCTTTTCCTAGAATTCTTGACAACAAGTTACAGCATTGATACTGATAAATCTACAAGCCTTCCCTTTGTTCGTCTAAACAAAGGGATATATGAGTAGGCCTATAACAAATTCATTTTAGTGTCTATGCAAATAAAGTACACTAGAATGTAATAAAACATTTCCATGACATTAAGGAATATGAGTACCTAAGAAAGCTAAAAAAAATATTTAGACTGAAGCATTACCAGACAAATTTCCTTACAAATATATTCAACACAGAAACTTCCATGACTTCTCCAGGCCTAGGAATCACTATTTTACAACAGACTGATATTTCCAGACTTTCCATGACTGTGAGGCACCTGCTAAGTTAAAAAGGTTTGCAAGTTAGTGCCTTTGGTCATCATAAATCAGCATAACAACACCTCTGAGAATCCTGATACTTGTGAACAGCAATGAATGGAATTAAAGATATGTTACAACATCCCTCGCCACAAAAGAAAAAAAAAAACTGAGGCAAAAACAGATAACCATTACGTTTTCCCAACAGCTCCTAATGCATAGATTTTGCCCATAGATATCAATTAAGTTCTCAAACACTAGAAAAATTTGCAGTATAAATAATTCAAAAGCAGAAGAATATAGATAGATAGATAGATAGATAGATAGATAGATAGATAGATAGATAGATATTATACTATTTAGCTTGTACTTCTCTTTGTTGTTCAGTTTCATTGTTCCAATGCAAATTACCTCACCTGTGGGCCTTTTATACATCCTGAGATTCTAATTGGAGTGTGAACACTAGAGCTGATTATTGTTTTCATGTTGAGAAATGTGTTATAATTGGGCTCAGGTTGTGATGTTGTTATCACAATTACAGAATGCAAGTGATTGCTAAATGAGCACATGGTACAACCTCTTATCCTCTGCCTTTTTGAGCTGATTTCTGTATACAGTAGAATATAATGACAAAATGTTCAACAAATTGTCAAAACAGATTTACACAATAGCTTAGCAAAATCAGAAAACAGTCTGTTTAGTTGGTGTGTGCCATAACTACATCGTTATGTGGGAAAAAATGATGTTTTACTATTGACAGCCACTCAAAAAAAGCCATGTATTAAGAATAAATGCATATTAATTCCTTGGCTGTATGCAGCAACAAACCGAAGTGCTAATGCATATCCAGATATATTAGACCCTGTTGAAAATTAAGTCTATTATAGAAAGAGAAAGAAAAGGTAGAGGAAGAGAACAAGATAGATTGTGTGAGTGGCTGAATGAATAAACAGCCAGACAGATTTGATGAAAGAGACTGCAGTAAGTTGACTGCCACTTTACATTAGACAGAATTACTGCCTCTCGCACAGTTAGTAATGCCTGTCTGCTTTTGTCCAGACAGTAAACCAGGAGCATTTCATCAGAGTTTTATTCAAACATCCCCACACAGCCATTCAATCACTCTCAGTACCAAAGCCATCTCAGTCTGTCTTATTACTGTAAACCATCCGTAGACATTTAACGTTTCCTGTCCTTTCCATCTTTAAATCAAGTTGGGCTTTTATCCCCTTTTATAGAGAGTCACCATGGACTTCTAATGACCTCTAATGACCAGGATCAATATCTGTTTGCGGCTAACCTTTAAAGAAATGTACAAATGTACACTTCCTTATTGTTACCAAAAGCACAATGGGCATTGTTTTTTATTATAAGTCTTTCTGTCCATACTATTCAAGAGATAGAGTCAAATTATGCGGCTTACCGTGGGTATTTGTTTGTTTGTTTGGTGGAATTAATTATTCACACAATGGCATTAAAAAAGCAAACATACTGGTACTAGAAATGGAACAAAGCAATATAGAATATGCAGAACCTAGGCAAACATATACATGTAATCTTATTTTATTAATCAGGAATTGATTGAATTGTGAAAAGTGGGTATTACATAAGCATTACAAGTTAGTTGGAGAGGAGGGGTTGAAAAAAAGATTTGTGACGTCAACTGAAAAAGAAATGATTTAAGTTACTATGTAAATTGTTATTATTTTGATAAAAGACTCCACGGACAGGTATAAAGCCATAAATGTGCATTCAGAATGTAAACAGGGTCAATTTTAATTTCATGTTGAATGACAAACTGAAAGAGCATTGTAGAAGTAATGACCTTCTCTCAGTTACACCCTGTTATTGTATTGATGAAAACACTTTTTTTGAACAAAAGAGTTCCTTTGTTTTTCTTTGAAGGATGCTTTACAAGCACAGCAAGCACCTGAGTGGACGATACAAGAAGTCTGCACATCACTTGGTCTGGCTCCTCTGTCTTTGGGTTCACCTCTTGCCTCAAGGTTAGTACAGTATACTACTATTTTACCAAACTTTATTTGTTATAAAACACATAGAAAAACAGAAGGACTTGTGAGACTAAAGTCTAAACTTGTGCTATTTACACTTTTACATGCCATTTATGGGTGAGCAAAACTGAAACAGATGACATGAAAAATTATTATATATCTGTGTGCACTGTTTCTCTTTCAATTTATATATGAGCAAAGTACAGAGTAGAGAGAGCCTGAAAAATGAACAAGTCCAGAAATCCTCATAAGACAGCATTTGCTTAATTGCTTGCCAGCACTCCCGTACGAGTCTATAAAAGTCCTTCAAGTAGTAAAACGATTAATAAGAATGGAAGGAGGCTGTAAATTGCAAACAGGAGGGACTGAGTCAGCTGTGTAGAAGAGTCACTCTATGCAGTAGACCAACGCATAACATTTTTAGGGGGAACATTTTTTAATGGCATTATGAAATCTGATCAAGTTTTAGATTGAATTTAATAATAAATACTAGTAATACCAGGAGAATTCACACACCCAGAGGGCATCTAGCTGGAGCAGAGCGAGAGACAGAATGGATGAGATAATTTGGAGGAGTCCAGTAGCCCGCAGCATGATTGTCCTAGCCTTAATGAATTAATTAGTAATGATCACAGTGAAGATAAAGGGATTAAACCCATTAGACCCATTAAACTCATCGACTGTAAAGACACATGCAGAATTGTGAGATGTTAACTTGCAGTGAGATATGAACTCGCAATTGTGAGAAAAAAGTCAGAATTGTGAGATAAAAAAGTTGCAGTTATTTTCTTTGTTCTTTTTTTAGCGTAAATAAAAACACAATTGTGAGATATAAAGTTTGAATTCAGAGAAAAAAAGTCACAGTTGCGAGATATGAACTCAGAATTGTGAGATGCAAGCTCAAAATTGCAAGCCAAAAAGTTTATTTCTTGCAATTCTGAAATTTTTCAAATCCAAATTGTGAGATTAAAAAGTCAACAATTACCTTTTTTATTTTTTTATCCCATGGTGGAAACGGCTTCCATTGAAAACAGTTATTTTAAATTATAAGAATATTTCACAATATTCCTGTTTTTACTACATTTTTTATTAAATAAATGCAGCCTTAAAGAAAAAAAGAGACTTCTTTCAAAAACATTTAAAAAAAATTAATGGTAGTGTATTCTGCAATCCATTGTATTCATTTTAGAATAGTTTTTTTTTTCCATATAGAATGCTTGACAATTTTTTATTACACATTTGCTTCCAGTTAAGTTCTCTCCCCTTTCCGCTATGCAGTCAAGCTGGAACAAATGCATCATAAGGGTACCCCGCAGTACACTACGCTTTACTGCATGAGCACTCTAATCACAATGCTTAAACTATAAAATGGAGTAGAATAGTGCAGAGGCACACTAAATGGGAAGAACCTCCCCAGTTACGCTGGAAACCTTAGAAGATAAGCAGGCATTTGAGAGAAAAAGAGAATGAAAGAAAAAAACGACTGAAAAACTGGTGTGAAATGTTTATGCAGTGATGGATGACAGAGTTGGAGAAGCAACTTTAAAACTAGATTGTCAAGCTATACACTTTTTGTCAAGCTAACCTTTTGAAGCTAACTACAATGAAGCTATTTATATCATTCATAATCATTGTTCAGAGCCATATTTTTAAATACATTTTTGCAACTAAAAATAAAATACAGGATTTCGTAGCATTGGTGTTTTAAAGAACAGACAGTGCAGACACCATATTTTATTTTACACAAATGAAAACAAGGCTGTGAGGGATTGATTCAGTTGTGTGTAGATGAAAGAACATTGAAAAAAAAGTCTTAAAAAGTCTCCAGTAGACAAACAACTTAGATGTGACCTCCTAGAACATACATCATATTTAAATATGGTGTCTACTAAGATCGGGTAAATGCTGGTTCAGAATTAGCAGCTAGTCATGAGTTTTATTTAGACATAGTCAGGTGTACGTCACACCTTCAGAAGTATTCATGGTATGTTAGACTAGCACACACACATAATATCAGTCAACATTTGGCTGTCAAGTTGTTCCTTTCAGGCCAAATCTGGGCCAGCCTGTTTTATCTGGTTGTGTGCTTGTCAAAGCATCAAACAGAAGCATTATGAAACTGACAACTCGTGGGGAAGTGGTAAACTGGGCAGGTCAGAGGGGATTAGAGTTAAAAGTTAATGTGAAGGTGTGCAAGTTTTGTGAAAATTTAACAGAGCAGAATCATTTTTGGTGTCTTTAAAAGACCAAAGGGTACAGTGTCCTTATAAATTTGCAGTCAAAGTTGTTAATAGGTTATTGTCTAGTAAATGTCAGTGGCCATACAGACAATCATAGCCTTTGACAGAAGACTGGGTGATGCTAACCTTTTTTTTTTTTTAAATAACTAGGATAAAGTCTACATGAATTCAAAATTGACCCCATATACTTTCTTAATATATGCTTTGGGTCTTATTGTGAAAGAATTATAGTGCAGTTTCAGGTGTGGTGTCTAAATTTCTGTAAAATTATGCGGGCAAAAAAGGTCCATTTTTAAATTGTCAATAATGTAGTGATATATGAAGTCCCTTTGTAATCAAGCAGCTTTCTGTTGGTCAACAGGGCGAATCTGTGACCAACTCGCTCCGAAATCTGTGCTGGGAAATCATTCACCCTCAAGCAAAATTCCAGATCGCATGCATTCCAATTGAAAAGAATGGATTTTGCCCACAAAATTGTTGAATGACTGTAAATATCACTGCACCTTTATTCCAAAGAAATCTTTGGAATTCAGGTGATGTCACCAAGACATCAAGAATTCAAGTTTTTTTTTTTTTTTGGCTATGTACATTGTTATTTTCTGGGAAATACCGAAAAGGAAATTTTGGCCAACACAATAACAAAATAATTATTTATATGAAAATAATAACTGATATATTGGCTGATATTTTATATTTTGCGAGTCTTTTATTTTATTGTTTTTATAAAACAATTAACAATCTCAGTTAATAAACAATCTTTCTTATCCCATAATAATTTAACAAATGTAGGCCTGATATAAATCATTGAAATAAAGAAATTATACATGCCTTTGGTCAACTTTTAAAAAATTAAATGTAAAATATAACTTTCACAAATATAAAAAAAGGCATAAAGAATCTAAATTCCTATTTACATTGAATAAAAAGTCTCTGGCCTAAAGAAACATTTTATTTTATTTATATTTAGAAATAAGAAATAATGTGAGGTCATTTCACTATAATTTACTGGTTTTTATATGGGCCATTCTACAGAACTGGTCCAAAGTCAGAGTTGGAAACGTATTGAATTCTCATATTGTATTTTCAGAAAGTTTTGGAATATTTGTCATCTCCCCAAATTTGTCACTACCGAAACACAATAATAATAATTTAATTAGAAGGGTTATTTTGACCTATTAAGATTTTGCTTACATCTAGATTGTAAATATATTATTATGGAGGTAAATCCATAATTAAATTTTTAACAATATTTCAAGTGCAATTTATGAGATTTGTTGTATTTTGAATCAAATTTTTCTTTATAAAAGGCAAAAAGTTGATAATACTGATTTCAAGTTAAGGATTCATTAGTTTGAATATACACTGTTCCCTTTTGTCACTACCGAAACAATGATGACATGTTTCGGTAATGACAATTCTATGGGATAACACCTAAAAAAAAAACAAAGATGTAATTTTAGATACTTTTGAACCTAGCTCAAAGATGCTAATCAGCACATGGTTTGCTAGCACAGTTCTGAACAGTGGTATACATATAAAAACTAAATGTTATGTAATATGACAATTCTATGGGATAACACCTAAAAAAAAAACAAAGATGTAATTTTAGATACTTTTGAACCTAGCTCAAAGATGCTAATCAGCACATGGTTTGCTAGCACAGTTCTGAACAGTGGTATACATATAAAAACTAAATGTTATGTAATAACTCCCAAAAAAGTGTGCTTAATTGCAGAAAAAAGGTGTTCGGTTGAGACGTTCCTTAAAGTTACACACAGCTTTTTCAGAATTTTGAACACATTTACCTCAAAATGATGAGACCTATCTACTCACACCTTGTAACTATGAGAGAGGGGGACACAGGAATATTACCCGATCATAAATTTAAGGGTTTAGTTAAAATCAGCCTTGGCCAATAGACTAAAACATACACTGGCCCTGTTATATACAGACGTCATTAAAATTTCTTATATAAGGAGAAAAATTGTGAAAAATCTTTTATCTTTCTCTCTCTCCCCAGTGGATGGCTTCTTTATATCTGATGCTAAGGCTGTCCTGCAAGGGTGTGATGACCACTGGACCTTACAGGAGAAGGAGCGTATGCCTGTGCTCTTTCAAACCACGGTATGCGTGGACGTACAGGTCCTTTCCCCAGGTGAGTGGACAGCATTTAGCTATGTCTCGGCCCCTGCACCCCGGTATGAACTTGCCCTGCAGGGGGATGCAAACAACCTGTACGCCTGGCTGTTGGGTGTACGCCACCAGTTCCCTGTCCAGCTGACCACTCATCACTGGTACCACATATGTCTACGGTGGGACGCCCCTCGCAAAAGCTTCAGCCTGACGATAGGTGGCAACTCAGAAGTATACCAGCGGACCGCCATTGCCCGAGCAATCCCTCCTTCAGGGCGTCTTCTGCTGGGTTGCCAACCAAACGAAGCCTCCCCTGGGGCGAAAATGGCCACCGTGGAGCTCTACCTGTTCCGCATATGGGACGATGTTGGAGAGCACAGAGCCTGCGAGGACGGGACGGTGATTGGCTGGGACTCACGACTTTGGGCCGTCACACGTGCCCAGGCAAGAGTACAAGATTATATGTTGCAATGTGGTGAGTACAGAGATTCACAAAAGGGAAGCCTGTTTAACCGGTTGATAAGAGAGGCGGGCTGAAAATAGCAGTGATAATTTGCCTAATGACTGTGTATAATCCAGCGTCAGATCAACTCGACAAACCATAAACAGCCTGAAGCCCTTTCTCGCTCTGAACTAAAAGTATGCAGAGTACTTTTTTGTAGCATCTTCAAAGCTATTTAAAGCTTAGAATGTTGCTGACTGAACCAACCAAGCAGACGTCTTGCTTGTAAAGACCAGCATGTGGATTGGTCGGGTGCATGTTTTAATGTTGCATGATTTCACTAATTTAACTTCTCAAGAAAACTCACTTTCATGCATGTATTATTTCTAGATAAAATAACGATCTTGTTGGAAAATCCAGCTTTAGCTGGTAGCTGTATTTTGGAACATGGTAGCTGGTTTCTAGCTGGTCTAAGGTGGTCATTAAAGCTGGTTGACTAATCCCCATATTCCAAAAACTAGTTTGACCACCTTAAGCTAGTATGACCAGCTGGTAACCAGTTTGTTGCTGGTCCATGAAAGCCACCTCCATGTACTTGTAGCTAATGAGAAGCTTGAATAATAAATAACCAGGATCAGATAATGAACAAGTTGGACTACCTAACGACTAGCTATGGCCACCAAATTACCAGCTTGGATCACATAAAGACTAGCTAGAACCAGCTAATGATGAACAAGCACCAGCTAATTACCAGCTTGAACCAGTTAATGACCAATTTAGACCACCTAATGACTATAGCTAGGACAGGCTAATGACCATTTTGAACCAGCTAGAAGCCAGTTATCATGTTCCAGCACACAGTTACTGGCTTAATATGGATTTTCCAACAGGGGAGTCAATAGCCTTGCCTGTTCCCTGCATCAGAAGGTAATTATCATCTGACCATCTTTTGTGAAAAATCGTTAAAACTCAAGTGAAATTCCAGATCCCTTTTTAATTGACTGGGTTTTGCATATGAAAATTTGATTAACAACAATAAATGTCGCCGCACTTTTATTCCAAAGAAGTCTTTGTAATGTTTAATCTAAAAGTAATTGCTCAACCTATAATGGTTAAAATTATACATGTCTACAGTTTTAAAAAAAAAAAGAAAAATCAGTTAAAAGATGCATCCCATATACGTCAGATTAAATCTGGCTTTTCGTTTCTAGACATAAATGAGTTCACTATATAAGACATGCCTTTTCTCCTCCACAGGAAATTATGAAGTCAAATCAATTATATATTACAAGGATATTTGAAACATTTCAAAACACATCCAGATGGATGAAAACCTGGGATGTCTTGATTGCAATGATCAGATCAGATGTTGATGCAGGGTACAAGAAGGGCAGTAGTAACAACACTCTTGTCTTTCTATCATTTGTGCATGCCAATTCTATTTCTATATTTCATATTTTAGGTCTAGGGCATCTGCGTATGAAACGCAGTGCAGACGGTACTTCAGCCCCATCCAGTAAGTGCAGTGCAAGTGTGAATTCACTTCACTGATTATTATTGTAGTGTGGTGGTGGGTAAATGTCTTGGGGAAGTTATGTCCCAAACTATAAGCATTTAAATAAATATTTCCTATAAAAAGGAATCAGAGAGTTTCTTAATTTAACCAGAGAGTCAGTTAATTTAAATTAGGGGTTTTCAAACTGTTCCTGGGGCTTCCCAGCAAGGCACATTTTTTAAGTTTCCTGGTCATGGAGAAATCTAATAATTCAGCTGTTTTAAATAAGGGCAAAATGCACTGGAGCGGAGTCTCCAGGTCCAGCAATGGTTTGAAAACCCATGAATTACATAACTGTCAGAAGAAACCAATTCACTATAAAGAAGGATACAAAGACTACAGGACAGTTTATTAGAACACGCTTATTCCTAAGGAACACAAAAGAAGATATTTTACAGAATGTCCAAGCTGCTTTCTCATGACCAGTTACAACATGGCACAACTGAATGTTCTGAATTGAATGTGCACAAAGATTTGAGAGCTATGACAGGATTTTCAGCAAATGAATTTCAGTGTTCCCCACAAGCAAAGGTATTATAAAGCTTTAGAAGATTTTGGAAGATTTGGAGTTATTATTTTTGTCCTTTTGGAGCTTAACAGTGTGTACATTTCCATCACATTTAAAACAGCTGCTTGGACAATCTAAACAGGGCACAAAGGAGCAGAAATGAACGAAATATCTGAATGAAATATCAAGAAAATGAAATATCTAATAAACCTCTAAACAGAAAGTCTGTAACCAAACCTCCACATTAAATAGTAACAATTTAATATCAGAAGGCATCATTTACTTAGAAATTAGGATAGTTTCCAGGAATCAATACTTCTCATGACAGTGCTTATCTTTAACGTCAATGTAATTTCCACTCCTCTGCGAATGTAGCTCTTCTTTTTGTCCTCGATCTCACGGCATGCTGCACTGAAAAGGCATGCCTGTTCCAGGCACGGTGCATGACGCAAACAGATGTTTTAAATAGCGGATGGGTTAGGTAATCTTGTTGTCTGAAGTTAAATTGGACAGGGTTGCAGAGAAAAATTGATGTAGTTGAGTAGAAATCAGCTGTATCTGCATATCAATAACATCTTAATCAAGAAAGATTACAATTCCGCAAATAAAAAGGTGTTACCTGTGTAAACTTTGTGTTCTGTTCTTTCACTTAATGAATTAATTGCATAGGTGTGTTTGTGAGAAACCCGATCTATTTTTGATTTTAAGGTTTAAAGGTTAAAGTTTAATATTTTATACACTTACAGCATCCCAAGGTTCAGCCAGCACCCGAGAGTTTGTCTCGACATCTAGTAAGTGTTCCATCTCTACTTCACCACAGCAACATATAGATATAGATATACAAATAAAGTTAAAGCATTGTACTTTCTGTCTATTTGCAGTTTACATTTTTTAATGGAATTTGTTTAGTGTTGTGTTGAATGACAACACCCTCTCTTCCCTCCCTTTCTAAGGTCCACTCCAATTGATTTTGACTTCAATAATTACCGGTTCACTGAAATCCACCACCCAAGGTCAGTAACAAATGTAAGATGCTGTGGAATATAAAAAGCTGGAGTAGAAAGTTCCAGATCACCTTCAGTCAGTGAGCCATTTACTTTGTGTAGTACTGGTGTTGAATGGGTCAACATAGTTAACTAGTTGACTTTGAGCAGTAATGCTTTAAAGGTGATGAATCTAGAAACTGATTCCTGTTCCGGTCCACAGGACAGAACCTTCAATCTTTGAATCAGGTCTTAAACACAGTCTCTGCTTCAACCACACAAGCCAGAACCACATCAAATCCTGCAGGACTCTCTACAACAACTTCTAAACCTTCAGTGACTCTCAGTGCACCAACACAAATTCCCCTCACATCAACTACCACATCAAACACTATTACACCTGCTATTCAAGCTGGTTCAGCTGTTAATAACATAACTACTATGTTAAACGCTAGTGGATTAAACATGTCACCTCCAACTCCAGCCTCACCTATGTCTTACATAACCGCTCAAACTAGCCAGAGCACGTCAACATCTGCCCAGTCACTTTCAAGCAATCACACTAGCCATCCAGTCGGTACTTTTGAAACAACAGTCAATCATACGACAGAAAGATCTTCCACTGCACCAACTGTCGCGACTCAAGTAACCAATCAGACAGCGGTTCTACGAACAATGACGTCCAATGTATTATTCACAGGTATGGCTAATATCACTGTGTTCTGATTATGTCTTTTTTCTTCTTTCTTGGAAAAAGACAGATGGCTTCTATTTCGGTGATAATTACAGGATATTAAATTAAATTCCTTACCTTCATTCTCTCATTCTGCCACATATTACATAATTTATACATTATAAAATGAATCCTAATGGTTCAATGCTTTGATGTGTCTTTTCATTTGTTTCAGAGCCATTTGCAGTACAGTGTAACTTTTCCCAGTCCTGCGCTAATGAATGTAAGAAAGAAAACATTTTTAGACAAAGCCTATTTTATTCTTAGAAGACATCATTTAGATTAAAAGTGGTGATTCCTGGGGATGTGTAATAATATCTCTCTTCTTACGTCACAGCATCATACTACTGGATGCTTGTGGAGGTGAAAGGCTCTAATATGACGGAGGGAGAGATTCAAATTTGGGTAAGAGCATTTTTATTTTAAAAAATTAATAAATAACAGTTTTCCTAATAATAATAATAAATTAGTTTTGTATTGAATAATTATTTTATTAACTAGAAGAGAGTATTGTATAAAATAAAGGGTTTTTCATTTTGAAATTCTAAAATTCCTGATGCTTCCCCCCTCTATAATCAGTTTTCAGATCTTTTTCATAAAAGCACCTGCTCTGCTGGAGTTTCAACAACAGGAATCAAAACTACATCATGTCAAACTGACATAGTCTTTGTGGTAGGTATCATTTGTTAAAAAAAAGAGAACAGGGCAGGGCTGAACTTTGATGTTGTCCAACACTGCATCATTATAAAATGCCTTTTTCAATAATATAGACTGCAGAGGTTAGATGTGAAGCCAAGCAGAACATCCAGTAAGTCAAACCTAACTCTATAAGCTACACAACAATTATGATCTCATTGAAATTCAATATCAAGTAATGCTACTACTGCCCCCATTCTTACAGAAGGACAAATTGCACTGTGGTACTACAGCTGAGCCAACCTGTGAATACATGCATCCTCCGAAGGCTGGTGCAAAATGGGACTGTAAACCCATCAATCCAGATCCAGCTTCTGGGAGATGTAGAAAGAGTGGGTGAGTGAGACAAACACATGAATATGGGCTTGATTAAGTAAATCAGATTTAGTATTCAGGGATAGTTGACAC